AAAATAAAGTTTTTACCAAACATATCGTTGATGCCTTGATGCAATCTTATGATGAAAAAACTTAATTTGGAAGTTTCTATACCTAGAAAACTTAATGATGAGTGGTAACCTACTATAAAGATTAAAATTAAAGATCATGAGTGTTATGCTTTGTGTGATTTGGGTGCTAGTGTTTCCACGATTCCAAAAACTTTATGTGATATTCTAGGTTTCCATGATCTTGATGATTGCTCCTTAAATTTGCACCTTGCGGATTCCACCATTAAAAAGCCAATGAGAAGGATCAATGATGTTCTCATTGTTGCAAATAGGAATTTGGTGCCCGTAGATTCTATCGTTCTTGATATAGATTGCAATCTTTCTTGTCCTATTATTCTTGGTAGACCTTTCCTTAGAACGATTGGTGCGATTATTGATATGAAGGAAGGGAATATTAGATTCCAATTTCCATTAATGAAAGGCATGGAGCACTTTCCAAGAAAGAAAGTCAAATTACCTTATGAATCTATCATGCGAGCTACTTATGAATTGAGTGCCAAAGATGGTACTACTTAAATCTATCCTCACTTTTATGCCTAGCTAGGGGCGTTAAACGATAGCGCTAGTTGGGAGGCAACCCAATTTTATTTTAGTTTCTTTGTTTTTGCTTCTATTTAGTAATAAATTTATCATATACTTTCTGTTTAGATGTGTTTTCATGTTTTAATTAGTGTTTGTGCCAAGTAGAACCTATAGGATAACCTATGGTGATAGTTAATTTGATTCTGCTGAAAAACAGAAACTTTGCACGCATGAAAATAATTTTGTTAATTCATAGAAACGGTACATCAAGAAGGTAGAGAGGGAAGAACTCCATAAGATCCAAATATATTAACAAAGCTCGCGGTACATCAAGATCATGCCAAATCAAGAACACGACAGAGAGAGAGAGAGAGAGAGAGAGAGAGAGAGAGAGATCAAACACATAGCTACTAGTACATACCCTCAGCCCCGAGGGTGAACTACTCCCTCCTCATCATGGAGACCGTCGGGATGATGAAGATGGCCTCCGGTGATGATTTCCCCCTCCGTCAGGGTGCCAGAACGGGGTCCCGATTGAGTTTTCGTGGATATAGAGGCTTGCGGCGGCGGAACTTCTCATCTAGGGTTCTTTTAGGGGGTTTGGTTATTTATAGGAATTTTTGGTGTCGGTCTCACGTCAAAGGGGTCCACGAGGCAGTGACCAACTCGGTCGCCCCTCCCTGGGTTGTGAAAGAATGGTGGAAAATGAATAAACTTTATTTTATGTTTGGGAACCGCCTATGATGTATCTAGCATGGAAAGTATTGGGAATTCCTGGTCGTTTTCGTTGACGGGAAAAGCATGCCTCTCAAAATATTTTTTATTTCTCAATTTAAGCTTTGAGCTCTGGCACCTCTATAAATCTCTACTTCCCTCTACGAATGGCCTATCTATTTACTTTATGCATTTTTTATTTTATTTTTGAGTCTCCATCTTCTCTTATAAAGCACCAACTAGGGAGCACTATGATCATACTTGTGCATTGGATGTAGTTAATATTCGAGTGTGTTTCATGAATGGATCAATGATTGAGCATGATGGGCCAGGGATAACTTTCTTTAGTGTTGATATTTTGAAAGACATGGTTGCTTGTCGATATGCTTGAGTATTGAAGTCTTCATGTCAAATATAGACTATTGCTCTGAATCATCTAAAAGTCCAAATGTCCATGCTACAAAAGAAAAGAATATGTGATGACCATGTTAGGCAGCATTCCACATCAAAAGTTTTGTTTTTATCATTTACCTACCCGAGCACGAGCAGGAATTAAGCTTGGGGATGCTGATACGTCTCCAACGTATCTATAATTTTTTATTGTTCCATGTTGTTATATTATCATTCTTGGATGTTTTACATTCATTTTACAGCAACTTTATATCATTTTTTGGGACTAACCTATTGACATAGTGCCCAGTGCCAGTTGATGTTTTTTGTTTGTTTTTTTACTTCACAGAATATCAGTACCAAACGAAGTCCAAACGCCACATAACTTTTTGGAAATTTTCTTCTGCCTAGAAGACAACTTGGGAGCCAAGGAAGTACCAGAGGGGAGGCCCATGGGGCCCACCACCCACATGGGCGTGCCCTGATGGGTGGTGGGGCCCACGAAGGTCCTTTCCACCACCTCTCGGCTCTATAAATGCCCAAATATTTCAGAAACCCTAGGGGAGTCGACAAACACAATTCCAGCCGCCGCAAATTCCAACCGCTTCAAAACTTTATTTCTTCTGCTGATCGGATAGGCAAGATCTGAGTGCTGTCCGCGAGCTGCTACAGGTCTTCGGGGCCGCTTTGGGGCTGCACACCAATTTTGCCAAGTGCACGACATCCCCCATCTAGTGCGCGGCCGTAGACCGGGCCATGATCACTGCGAACTTCGCCTACCCGCTGCAAGACTTCCCCACCACCTACCTCGGCCTACCACTATCCATCTGCAAAGCCAGCACAAACGCTCTACAACCTATCATCAACAAGCTGGAGCGTAGGCTATCGCCGTGGTGGGCATCCATGATGTCGCGGGGCGATCGGCTAGCCCTGTGTCGCCATGTACTTTCAACCATGCCCGTACACATCATGCTTGCGATGGCCATCAATCCGCCGACCCTCAAGCGAATCAACCGTCTGATCCGTAGCTTCTTGTGGTATGGTCGCAAAGTCGCGAGCAGCAGACACTGCATGGTCAAATGGCGCCGGGTATGCAGGCCTGTCTCCCTCGGCGGCCTCGGCATCCTAGACCTCTGCGTGCCGGCATCTCGCTACGCGCCCGGTGGCTGTGGCTACAGAGAACGGATGCCTCGTGCCCGTGGCATTACCTTCACATCCCGCACTGCCCGGAGGTTCAGGCCATCTTCAGAGCCTTGACCACTTGGACCATCGACAATGGTGAGTCGTGCAGATTTTGGGAGGACCACTAGTTGGACGGGCAAAGCATGTCTGAGATCGCGCCCCTAGTCTACTGCAAGGTGCTAACACCGGCGCAAGACGCGCTCGGTGCGTGATGGGCTGCTCAACCAGGCGTGGATCACCGACATCTAAGGCGCCATGGATGCGGCCATGACCATGCAGTACATCTTGCTTTGGACGACGCCTATGGCACCCGACTCTGACCGACGAGCCGTCTGGTTGTCCTGGCGTTGGACTAGCACGGGGATCTACTCCGCTCGTTCCTGCTATCAAGCCCTATTCACTGGCTCCACCACCGACCCGCATTGGCAAATCACTTGGAGATCCTGGGCGCCGCTCCACATCAAGTTTTTCATCTGGCTCGCTCTGTTGGGCAGGTGCTGGACTGCCAACCGCCTTGCACATCACGGTCTTCCCCACGAGCCACACTGCCTTCTATGCGACCAAGAGCCCGAGATTATACAGCACCTCCTCGCGGGCTGCTCCTTCTCCCGCCAAGTTTGGCATGAGGTGCTTTCTTGGTGTTGCCACGATCCCCGCCCAAGACGAGGAGTTCATCGCCTGGCTCTCCTCGCCCATCTCCAGCACCACGACCTATCTCCGTTGCGGCCTCGCCTCATCCTCACCGCCTGACATCTATGGAAACATCGCAGTGGCTGTCTCTTTGATGGCGACCAGCCCGCTGTGGGCCACGCGCTGCACATGATCCAAGAGGAGGCGCGACTTTGGGCACGCGCCGACGCTAAGGGCCTAGCCCTAATCATACCCGAGACGTAGGCAGAGGTCTCTGGGCGGCACACCCGGTTGTCCTATGTGCCACAAGCTAATGATGCTTGCCATCCCTATGTACGAACTAGTTAGCCGCCTCTATATCTGACTTTTTTTGCAGTAAAATTTGGGAGCTCTTTATTCAACATCAACAGCTCCAGCAGAATCTGCTAGGAGGCTGGTTACAAGAAAACTTGGAGTAGACTCTATCCAACACTCTGTAACATCTAATGTGCTCGCTTGCTTTGCACAAAGATGAGCGGAGACGTTGGCTGCCCTACCAACATGTTGAACTACAAAAGACTTAAACGAAGGAACATGCTCCCCAATTTCAACTAAGATAGGCGCCACCACCGCACGGGATATCAGGCACGAATTCCAGAGATTCACAATCTCCAAATTGTCTGACTCAAGAACCACTTCAGCATAGCCTCTCAAACGGGCGAAGATGACACCGTCGCGAAGGGCAAGAGCTTCGGCTATTAACGGATCCGTGACCCCAGGGTAAGGTTTGCACCATGCTGCCAAGAGGGATGACCGAGATCGTGCAACTCCTCCTGTCCCTCCCCTCCTTGCCTCCAGTGCAATACTTCCATCAGTATTAATTTTGACCCAGCCCAACTCCGGTGGACGCCAGCCATGGCCAGGCAAGGTGCGAGCATGCTCACGAGGCAGCTCCAGAACTGCTAGGGTTTCCCGCACCCTTCGCATGGATTGAATAGGATTGAAAGCAGCTTTGTCGTGGGTGATATTGTTCCAAGAGGTCCAAATCGTCCACATAACAGTCACTAGAGTAGCTCGATCAGACTCTGAAAATTGATCATCACATAGAATGTCCCTTGACCAAGTTAGCGGGTGCGGCCATGGTGGGCTTTTGTACTGCCACCCTATCTATCAATGCAAAGATACGCAAAGCTTTTGCGTATTCGTGAAAAAAAAAATGCTTTCTTTTAACCCAATACAATCACTGATACTCACTCATACACGAGCATACAGCCATACACTCGCCCCTAATTGCAAACGTCAGGCAAGAAACACCGGCAAGCGAACGTAAGCAACAATGTTCGGTGGAGTTGACTCTGGCTCACAAAGGGAAACGCCGCGGCGGAAGGGAGTAAATATATGACGACCGGCGGCGTCCTCGCATTGCCAAAATTGCCTTATGCGCCCATTACATCCGCCGGATTCCTGACAAAAGATTTCCCCTAAAACGCTCGCCGTCACTCCCAACTTCCCAACCCTGACGTCCCCCTTCGCTTCGTGCGGCCATGGTGGGCTCGGATCCGGAGCCTGACATCGCCGAGCTCTTCTGCCACTACAACGCCCTCTACTTCGAGGACTCCCTCGGCGCGTGCGCCGTCTCCTGGGCGGAGGAGCCACTCCCCTACGGGTAACCGTCCCTCCCAATCCTCGAGTTCTTTGTGTTCTCGGGTGCCATCTAGGTTCGCTTTCTGGCCGGGCTTATGCAGATCGAGGCTGCAGATGTGGATTGTTTCCCGGATTGCAAGATATATGTTGCATTTCTTTGTTCCCCTTCGAAAATCACTGCACATTCGCGAGCAGTCTATATTCGATGCATTTTTGATAATTTCTTGCAGGGAGAAGAACCCTATTGTGCAGGAGCTGTGATTCGGTCCTTCCGGCGGTGCTAGAGGTTTAGCAGCCTTGTCTAAGTCTAGACGGCCGTTCGTCTATCAGGGGAAACTTTCAATTACTTTTGGAGGGGAAGAGTCCAGTCGCTTTCTTGTGTTCACAAGAATTACCAATCCCTAAAAAAGAATTAGGGCACCAGAGGGAACACTAGTGCTATCCAATTGTTCAGTATTCCGGTCAAAAGTTCCAGCCAGAACATAGGTGGCTCAGATAAACCTATAAACTGCTGTGTGCGCATCGATGCCGGCTGAAGTTTCAGTGCTAACCTCTGAATGCTTGCATATATTGTGCATTGAGTTGAAGATATGTTTGGAGCGCTGTGATTTCGGTAGTAAGTGTTGGGTGTATGAGAAGAACAAAGCAGGATGAAACAGTATGTATCTTCCACATCCTTTCTAGGAAGGAAATAGGAAAACAGTGTAGAGATGATAATGTTTATGCACTTGCCATCTTGATTAATGCCACTCAATTAAGTAGTGGCTCCACGAGATGTGAAGTTGTGAACCATTGGATGCCATTGTTTGGGTGGCTGAAAAGGTTTAGGGCCTGTTTGGATCACAGCCCTGGCGCACCCGTCCAAATATTTGGTCGTTGACCAGAACGATGGCGTGCGTTTGGTTGAGATCCGATTATTTGGCTCACCCCAGCCCCGTTCGCCCTTCCCTTTTATTACGCAGCCAATTATTTGGCAAGTAGCCGGCGGCCATTTCCTCTGCCAAAATGTTGGCGTGCCATTGATTGGCAGGGCGACCAAAGGCACAATCCAAATGGCCCCTTAGGGCCGAAAATCTTCCTATTGTACATACATTATACATTATAATATGCTTTGGATATTACTGAAAAATAATGCTAATCTCTCAAGACATGGTGCGGTAGCTCTGAGCTCCAACACCAGGATCTATTATGATTTTCTTACTTGTAGATTTAATGAAAGCAAAACTTTTGGTGGGATGATTTGGGCACAGTAGCAATTTTGCACTCAAGGAATAACCCCTGTACCACCAATCAACAAATACGTTTGTTTGAAATCCACAACTCTAGGCTAGCACAAAAGAAGCCTCAACCCTCAAGAGAGTGCCAAGTCGTCTCATTTCTCCATACATCTTGGATGTGCAATTTACGGAATAGATATGTCTACTTCTCCTAAGTATTCATTACATTATAAATTCTCACCACATAAACTCTAGAATATTCATGTGATATGGATATTTTTTGGGTAAAAACAAGTCAATAATACCAATATCATAGTATGCGTGAGACTTATCATTAATTAAAAATATGAGTGAAGTGTATAATGCATCCAGTTTAACCAGTCATGAAAAGTGACGAGAAAATTGTGGAACCAAAGCGGTCTATGACATTTGTACATTGCAAATGTCAATCAATTTTCTTGTAATAGATGAATGGTATACTGTGTGGTTGGAACACGGTAGCATATCCTGGCTGACGCAGGTTCAAACCATGTGGACATGATTAATTCCGTGGGTTCGGGTGTTGCGCCTCACACCTCCTTACTTAAAAAACAGCAGGGGCTCCTCCTCCTGCTGGTCTAGTTTTTTATACCATGTGATGCATCAATCATAGTGGTGGACTTCCAGTTAGGAAATAGTTCAGGATTATTGCTAATAGTTCGATTCATTTGAGTGAAAAAAAACTGAATGGATTTATACCACAAATATCTTTCTGAAGTCCAACCAATGCTAAAGCCAGACTTAATTATGTGTGGTTTATCATCCACATTAGTATGTACCAAAGTAGTTATTAGTTACCGTTACGGTATCACCAGAATAACTGTCTTGAAATTTCTCATGTTTACTTTTTTTTTGCAGTGATACAAGTGGCTGTGAGTATTATCCTGGCGGCGGTGGCTGTATTGTACTTCTTTCGAAGTCCTTGTATGAATTTCACACATACTCCGATCTGAAGAATGTTTTGCTCCATGAGATGATTCATGCCTATGTGTGCATCAAAGATAATAACACTAGCCATAGGTACTTGTTCAATAAGACAAAGACTAGAATTTTCTAACATGCCTCCAAATTTCTAATTTCCTTCTTGTTAATTTCAAACTGTGATTGCAGTAACCATGGTCCAAACTTTCAGAAGTTAATGAATACAATCAATTCCAGCTCTGTACCAGATCGTCATGTAAGTTGAATTCAAGCATTGACTGTTAATCAGTCTGTACTTAAGAGATTCCTTATTAACATCGTCAATTATATTCAGCGTCCTCTTGGTGGCTACAACATAATTACGCTCCATGATATCAGAAAGAAATGTTATAAATACAAAGTAAGTATCTGGACTGTAATACTAGTAAGTAAATCTGAAATTAAATTTTGAGATTGACAGCTAACCACTTCTGCAGTGTGACGTCTGTGGAGATTTTGTTAGATCAACCAAGATCAGAGGACCTTCACATGATGACTGCATTGAGAGAATGGGTGCTAATTCCTCGTGCCCAAATTCAGCTTGTCAATGGCATAGGTATTAGCTCTTTGCTTCACTGCATTTTTTGATTTGGTATTTGCCTTTTTGGTATATCTGCTGTTTTATTCATGCCACCGATTTCTCTGACTTGATGGTATTCCTTACTTGTTCTAGTTACCACAAGGCTTCTCAACAACTGTCACATAAAGAAGGGGGAGTTGCCATTATGTATTTAGAAAGAACAAGAAATATATCTGCACTATAAAAAGCACTATGCATATATGTCAATATGTGTACATTGGCACACCAACAAATACATTTGTATGAAAAAAGAAATGGAAAATATCGACAAAAACGTGTCTTAAAGAAAGCTCAATTTACATTTCAGATCCAGTTGTGTCCATGTATATCTTCTTTTTTTATGTGATGGAGGAGTCACGTCATCAATCTTATGATTACGTAATTGCGATCATGCACTATGCATATTCATAGTATTACATATAAAATAGCAATCCAAAAGGTCAGATGCAAGTAATTCAAGTAAGGAAGCTACCGTTGAACATTCATTATTGCTCTCACGGTCACTATCATGGCATGGTTTTCCATCTTGGTCGTTGTTATGCATCTATGACATCACAACTCTCATTGATTCCTGCAGTCCCTACTTTTACATATACAGACAAAAATAAGATTGTTCCAATGCACATCAATAATAATAAGTTGAAAGGTAGTAGGGCTAAAAATAATATATATGTATACATGCTTAATTGTCTGAAATCTTTTCTAGTATTTTTTCTTCAGGATTGTAGGCTTTGCAACAGCAGTACCAACGAGGAATTAGAAAGGATGTAGTATCCTGATAGGTGTAGGCAGACAGAGAAGACGAGGCTTCCATCTCCAGCTCAAGATCTAGAAGGCACATGGGATTGCATGTAGAATGCAACACACAGAGCCTCGTTGACATCTCTTGGCAAGCCAACTATATCATCCATCTGTTCGAATCTGAATAATTGTAGTTACCTAGTGTAGCATGAAAGAAGTAAACCATAAAAGAATAACTCATGTTTTGAAATAATTGTAGCTACGGCTTGATTTTCTAGACTGTCAAAAAATAGATTGATTTTTTATATCTTTGAAATAAATCATCAACAATTGTTTGGGCAATGTGCTCCATTACTCCTAATTAAACAATGCGGGCTCATCTTTTGTAACAGTCTGAGCTCACATTGCTTAATTAGGTGTATTGGAGCGCACTAAATTGGTTGATTGCCTGATAAATTATCATGAAACTCTACAATACGAAGAGTTGGCTAAACATGGGTTATGTTTAATGGTTAAATTCTTTATTAAGGCTACACTTGTCAATTATGATTATATTGGGTTGGAGCATGCTGGATAGCAGAGCTTGTTAAGAAATGTTGGTAAGGTGCTGTGGGCGTTGCATCCTGTGTGTAATCACATGTCCTGCCTGGATCTTAAGCTGGAGGAGGATGGAGCGTTGTATTCCTGATCCGTGCCTACAACTCCATATACCTGTCAGGATGCATCTTTTCAAGCCCCACACTGATGCGGCTTCTGCAAGACCTGCAATCTCGAAGAAAATCATCAAAAGATTACGGACAAGTGTGCATACATACATATGCATTTAAGCTTATCTACCTTTAGATTATTTTTTCTATGTGCATGGTAAAATTGTTACTTTTTGTCTCCAAATATAGAGTCGAACCACAAGAAACCAACGAGAGAAAATGCGCCACTGATAAGTGATTAAATTGTGTAGCAAGATGTGCACACCAACAACCAAGATGAAAAAACATGTCATACAGTGATCTCTCGAGCAATAAATGTCATGCAGTTCTAGACAAAAAACATGCCATATGACAACTTCCCCTTGTTTGTGTGACTGTTGTTGAGCCGAAGGAGTGTTATGAAGTCAGTTACACCAGCGGGGATGAAACATTTTTTAACCCCAAAGCTGATGACTTGTTGATAATAGAAAAAATCTGATCGAGTGGGTCAGTAATGTCAAGATGTTATGTAATGGTAGTGAGGCTAACATACTACTCCCTCCGTCCCATAATATAAGAGCGTTTTTTACACTAGTTTTCACTGTCTGCTAATTATGCAGGTATCCGAGTTTCGTTATGTATCTGATATGGCATCTAAATTTAAGCCTGACAAAAGAAGGATCTCTGACTGCGAATTAGATTATTATTTTGATGCAATATCTTACCCAAATATGCATTTCTCAAATTTGTTGGATTTTTCATATTAATCTATCGCCAACTTGTACCCTATTTTTGTACCTCCTTTCCACCATATACTCTTGGATGTACCCTTTAATGTTGGTTTTGATATGTATATCTTGGTATGCAGGCACAAGAAGGGGTGCTCCGGTAGCTATTATAGAGTTGGAAAATCAGCTCCAGGCTGTGCAGAACTAGGGGGTTCAGTAGGTAGCTTTTGCCATAAGACCTAGTAGTTCATCTAGAAATGTCTGGACCACTCTTCATTTTGTTTCATTACTAGTATACATTGTATAGAGTAATAGTGTTGTTTATTGTTTTTGACAGCTTCAGCTGAAGAAACACTTGATGAACGCAAGGCTGCCAAATCAGCCAGTGGAAGTTGGCATGCCAAACATACATCAAATAAGTCAGGGACAAGCAATAAGCATGAACTGGAAGATGCACCAGCTGAGTTCCATCATTCTACTAATGATGCAGTCGACAAATCAGGACTGGGCTCCTCTTCAGGGGACAGGTGTAATAAGAAAATCAAATTATCCAAGGACATTCGCTTTGGCAACCTGACTGGCACAACTGTTCAGGAAGCACCAAAGCGACCAAGAACAGATACAGCAAAAAGGAACCAAGAGTGCAGCAGACAAAAGAAAAGGAAAACCAGTAAGTGGGATGGATCCTATTCAATAATAGTCGAGCGGTTGAATTATTACTGTTTCGATGATTCAGATGAAGATGAGGTACCTTTGATCAATAAAAGAACCGAAATGAGAAAACGACAAAGGTTACTGAAAAATTCTCAGGCAACAGAATCAAACGATGGTAGAAAGGATGTGTGTTTTGATTCTTGTTCTCAAGGCTCAGGGGACAAGAACATATCTGAAAGTGCGCCTGCTTCTCAAGTCGAAGAACGGTCGTTGCCAGATCATCTTGTGCATAATCGTGTAGCTGCTCCAGGTCAAACAGACCATGAAACTGTGGACTGCGCAATTGGTGAAATTGTGGACATTTCAGATGGGTAACTATGACAGAGTTTAATTAGCTCCTCTTATCAACCCAAGCTTTCCGTTGTGCGTCTTGCTACTGCTAGACATCTCGCTACACTGCAGAAGTGCTAAGGTTGTAAACTTGGAACTCGGTTTGGTTTGCGCATATCGCAGCTATGGTGAGGATGCTGGGTCGTCCTGTGAAATGTGTCCTGGGCTGCTGTACATAGTCTTGTTTATTTCTGTTGCAGTTTACTTAATTTTTTACTAGCATAGAGGGGGTTGCAATGTTAGGTCTGTATGCTCTCACTTCAGGCAACCGTATCTCACTTTTCTATTTCTGCACTGACGACAGTGGCAAGTCATGGAATTGCGGACGTATGGTTTTCCTCTCTTTGTGTTTTTTTACTGTAGAAAAGTTTCTACACTTTTGATGCAAGGCCGCTTTGTAACTTGGTTCTGACTTTGACTACTGATTTGACCAACAAAAAATGTCACATGTCACAAAAGGTATTATCGCATGATTTGTATGCGGAATAAGTTTCCATTTTCAGGTTTGTTATGGCATGTAACATATATTTTGTTGGTCAAATCAGTTGTCAAAGTTACATCCAAATTAGGAAGTGACCTTGCATAAAGTTTGATCTATACATTTCGTAAATAGATTTATTATTGCCTAGAAAGATATGTTCTAAATAGACTTTTCGTAATCTATATGTCACTGCTAAAAAAAATTTATAAGCCTCACTGTGCTATATGCTTCTATTGCATTTGCTTGCATCTGTAGTTTCTTTTCAGTAGTATACTGATATTGAAACCACATCAAAGAATGTTAGATTGTATTGAAATGTAGTTTCCCTAGATTATACAATATATGTTTTGATAAAAACAAGTCTGTTAGATATATCCTTGACAATGGAATAGATAATGTGAGATTCAGGAGAACTCTAATGGGGGATTCTCTTGAATTATGGAACCACATCAAAGAGGCTTGTGCCTCTCTTGGTCTGAATAACAGGAAAGATGAGGCTATATGGACTCTGACAAAGAATGGCATTTATTCTGTCAAGTCTTTCTATAGACATTTGATTGAAAATGGGGTTAAATATCCACATTTCTTTATGTGGAAAGTTAAAATGCCACCTAGGGTGGAAGTTTTCATGTGGCTAACTCTCAGAAATAGTATTCTTACTAAAGATAACTTGCTCCGCAGAGGTTAGAGGGGTGATAATAAGTGCTCCTTCTGTGGAAGGGACGAAACTATTAATCATCTCTTCTTCACATGCTCGGTTGCGTTTACTCTGAAATGTACTAAAATGTACTTTCAACCTCACTGGTGTGCCTGATAACATAGACTCTCTGGTTGGGGATTGGGTGAGAAATTTAATAAAGTAGAGAGAAATTTGCTGGACCCTATGAAAATTACGTAATAGTGTTATTTTTTATAATAGTAAGGTGGATGATTCTCGTACCCCTGTCAATTTGTTCTTCAAATGGCTTCATGATTGGAATATTTTGCAAAGAAACCCCGAAAGAAGTAAACTGATGGCGGCAATTTTCATGGCGACCAAGTGGGAGAAGAATTACAGCGGGTTGATGCTGTTGGTGTTCTGCTCCCAGGAATTTGCTGTAACGAGCTTCGGGCTCTTTACACCTGTATGGACTGTAACAAAAAATGTACCGCACTTAGCTGAAAATGCTGTGATGACGTTGATACTCGTTTCGCTGGTTCTGGGACGGCTTCGTGGTAATAGAAATAGGAGAGTAAGCTCTCTTTTATCAAAAACTAATAAGCGTGCACATGCAACACACGTATAATCGTAGGAAGAAATTTCTTGAGTCAGATCAGAGATGTACAACATATGACCAACTCCAACTCTACCTAATGACCTGCAGATGTATTTGTACAAAATATGGTTTCAAACATGCAAGATATATCACAAGTTGTATCAAACAACATGATGTGTGGTGCAGGGAGGGGGATCCGAAGTGTTCTCAACAGTTTCCCTTTATTACAAAATGGCAAAATAATCACCAAAAGCGAGTGGAAATCATGGAACATTGGGTACTATTTTCTCAAAAAGCGGGTTCTACCAACGGAACATCAGATTGCACCTAGTTTGTGGTTTTGCATATTTTGCAAGTCTCCATGGACTGAAAGCAGAAGATAGCTAACAGGAACTAAACATATTATGACATGTAACACCATATACAATATTAAATTCTTTTTGTTATCAAAAAAATATTAAATTCTTTTTGTTTTCGTTGCAGTAAACTCAATATGTTAGGTTGCATATACCAACGTTAGGATTGACACAATATAACTCGGTACAAATCACAGCTTCAGCAGAATCGGTGTGAGAACTAAATCAGTAAGTATTCTGCTTGCAAGCAACACAATGGCTGACAAAAGTTATCTTCTGAAAAGAAGCACAATAGCTCTTTTTCTGTACAAGTACAATATGTGCAGCCGCTCTCCCCATAAAATAAATTTGATCTTCTCACCATCATTATCAACCAGCACAATCTGCTTTCTTTGTGTACATCTAAAAGGTTCCAAAGTCAAAATCCTCTCAATCCTGCAAGAAAGAAAGGGTGGGTTCTGAACCTTTCTCTAACAAAGTCAGCTTCTACAGTTCACCCAATAAAATTTTATTGCGAATAGTAAATTTCTTCCTTTTTATTCTCACCACTAAGGAGAGTCTTTATTTATAGCACAGAGCAAACATGTATATACAAAGCTCCAAGAATCCTCCTATACATGTTCACCAGTAAAGCAATTAGCTTTGATGGCCTTACTATTTGTACAAAGCTCCAAGAATCCTCCTATACATGTATTTATAGAGGTCTAATAATGCTAAACAACGAATCCCCCTACACATGTTTACCAGTCAAGCAATTGGCTTTGATGCTCCAAGAACAATATTCAGTAGAATAATAGCAGAGAGAGGCATAGCAAATCTTGACAGATAGGAGAGAAACTGCACAGTGAGGAAGCAAAGCAAAGTTGGGAATGAATATACGGAATATGATTTCCATGCCGGTACAAACGAGGAATTAGGTGCTGCCATAACGATTTAGAAGTTAGATATGTTGGTTCATACACTGCAATATCAAAAAAGTCCAGCCAGCACCTTCCTTCCTAGAATTGGCTGTGTTGGAGGGGGCTTTTGTTGTATGTAGACAAAGAAGAAGACACAATTGAAGCATGGACTATGTAGGTGTGCAGAGCATAGCAATCAACATCTGGCAAAAATGAATGACAAAGGTAACGAACAGAACCTCTTTGGTGAGGGTTTGGCAGTGATCCCTGGAGCGGTCGAAGATGATGTTGCAGTTTCTGTCGACGATGTCGCGCACAGCGATCATGCCGTAGACATGGATGGGCCAACGCAGGCCCCCTCTGATGTCCGCGACTTTGATGGAGTAGATCTGCAGGGAATCGAGGGGCTGGTGTAAGGGCATATTTATCCCCAAGATGTTCTGGTGATTGATGACAATGCTTGTGCGGACTAATCGTGTGCGTTTAGTTCTTTCAGAGATTCATCCATTGGCACGAGACGATTTCCTCCCCTTGGTGTTGTATTCAAGACGGTGTAGCTTCTTCGTTTCGTTGTTGGTGCTCTAGTTTCGTAGGAGTCACCGTACTATCAAGAGGGGATCCGTTTTGGTAAGACTTGGGTGGAATCACACGTACACATCCTTATCACACCCGTCGTCTTTCCTTCCGCATCTTTGGAGCTGCCGTTTTCCCCTTGCTATGCTTTGCTCTGCCCCAGCGGTAGTACCGCGCCCACAGCGGTAGTACCGCCGAAGCTCCCCAGCGGTAGTACCGCTTGGGATTTTCGGCCGTAGTACCGCTGAGCGCCTGGGCTACTTCCGCCTCGATTCTCGAACGAAGTTTTTTGTGTCGGGTTTTGCGGCACTAAGGGCGGCAGTAGGAGCGGTAGTACCTCTCTAAGTGGTAGTACCGCTCTTCCCTAGCGGTAGTACGGCCCTGGGGTCTGGCAGCGCGGCAGTACCGCTAGGTTGAGCGGTAGTACCGCCCTTCCCTAGTGGTAGTACCGCTCTGTGCGGGGTTGGTGAGTGGGATAACGGTTGGATTGTTCCCCCCACTATATAAAGGGGTCTTCTTCCCCAAAGTTGACCTACCTCTTTCCCCCAAAGCTCCATTGTTGCTCCAAGCTCCATTTTCGCCCGATCTCTCTCCCTAGCCAATCAAACTTGTTGATTTGCTCAGGATTGGTTGAGAAGGCCCAGATCTACACTTCCACCAAGAAAAATTTGATTCCCCCCCACTTATCCCTAGCGGATCTTGTTACTCTTGGGTGTTGAGCACCCTAAACGGTTGAGGTCACCTCGAAGCCATACTCCATTGTGGTGAAGCTTCGTGGTGTTGTTGGGAGCCTCCAAGTGTTGTGGAGATAGCCCCAATCTTGTTTGTAAAGGTCCGGTTGCCGCCTTCAAGGGCTCCAATAGTGGAATCACGGCATCTCGCATTGTGTGAGGGCGTGAGGAGATTATGGTGGCCCTAGTGGCTTCTTGGGGAGCATTGTGCCTCCACACCGCTCTAACAGAGACGTACTTCCCCTTAAAAGGAAGGAACTTCGGTAACACATCCTCGTCTCCACCGGCTCCACTCTTGGTTATCTTGTCCCTTTACTTTTGCAAGCTTACTTAAGTTATATCCATTGCTTGCTTGTGTGCTTATTGTCTTTGCATCATATAGGTTGTCCACGTAGTTGCACATCTAGACAACCCATTTTCATTGCAAGGTTTAAATTGTTAAAGAAAAGTCAAAAATTGTTAGTTGCCTATTCACCCCCCCCCCCCTCTAGTCAACCATATCAATCCTTTCAATTGGTATCAGAGCCTCGTCTCTTTATTAAGGACTTTGCCGTCCGAAGAGTATGGTTGACACCCACGACGGTGCGGAGGAGCACTCCGGTGTGAATCCCATCTCGTCCACGGCCGAAGGGGGAGCCTCGGTCTCTCGTGAGGAATTCAATGTGGCTTTAGACACATTGAAAACCTCC